CTCAGATGGAGGAGGCCCAGAGAAGGGAAGGGCTCAGATGGAGGAGGGCCAGAGAAGGGAAAGGGGCTCAGATGGAGGAGGCCCAGAGCAGGGAAGGACTCTGGATGGGGAGGGGGCCCTGGAGGGTCTCGGCTCCGCTTCTGTCAAAGGAGGGGAGTTTTCAGGGTGAAGGAACACAGTTTGCAGGCTGGGGTCCCCCCTAATTTACAAGCCAGCTTTCTCTGTGCCCAGGCCCCAGCCTGGCGTCCTCCCTCTGCCCTTTCCTCCGCTGCCCTTAGGAACCCTGGGGTTGGCACCGTGGTGCTGGGCGCCTATGACCTGAGGCGGCGGGAGAGGACGTCCCGGCAGACCTTCTCCATCAGCAGCATCAGCGAGAACGGCTATGACCCCCAGCAGAACCTGAATGACCTGCTGCTGCTGCAGGTGAGAGGAATGGGCAGGTGCAGGGTTCACACCTGTGCTCCCAGCACCTCGGGAGGCCGACACCAGCCTGGGAGACACGTCCAAACACTGTTGTGTCTACAAAAAAACACAAAAATTCCCGGGCGTGGTGGCACGTACCTGTGGTCCCAGTGCTTCAGGAGCCTGAGGCAGGAGAACAGCCTGAGGCCAGGAGTTCAAGACCAGCCTGGCCATCATAGTGAAACCCCGTTGGGAGGATCACTTGAAGACAGGACCTTGCCTGGGCAATATGGCCAAATTCAGTATCTAAAAAAAAAAAAGAAAAAAAAATTAGCCAGGCATGGTGGCGGGCACCTGTGGTCCCAGCTACTCAGGAGGCTAAGGCAGGAGAATCGTTTGAACCCTGGAGGTTGAGGCTGTAGTGAGCTGAGATCATGCCGCTACTCTCCAGCCTGGGCAACAGCGCCAGACCTGTCTCAAGAAAACTTTTTATTTTTAAAGATGGGGTTTCACCATGATGGCCAGGCTGGTCTTGAACTCCTGACCTCAGGTGATCCAGCCTCCCAAAGTGCTAAGATTACAGGCGTGAGCCACCGCACCCGGCAAGAAAACTTTTTAAAAAATACAGAAAACAGGCCGGGCGCGGTGGCTCAAGCCTGTAATCCCAGCACTGTGGGAGGCCGAGGCGGGTGCATCACGAGGTCAAGAGATCGAGACCATCCTGGTCAACATGGTGAAACCCCGTCTCTACTAAAACTGCAAAAAATTAGCTGGGCATGGTGGTGCGTGTCTGTAATCCCAGCTACTCAGGAGGCTGAGGCAGGAGAATTGCCTGAACCCAGGAGGCGGAGGTTGCGGTGAGCCGAGATCGCGCCATTGCCCTCCAGCCTGGGTAACAAGAGCGAAACTCTGTCTCAAAAAAAAAAAA